GTCCCCCACTCCGTGTGCATCCACACACACACACTGTCCCCCTGCCCCAACAGTCCCCAAGCTCTGGCCCTTCAACACTTGATCCCCATACCATTACCTTCATCTGGCTGCTGGGGCTGCTCCCACGGCCCTGCCAGCCTACAAGGGTAAATCCATGCTTCCATACGTTTTTCTGGCACTTGCTCATGACCTTTTGAAATACTCTTGTGATCCACTTTTGGATTGTGACCCACAGGTTGAGAAACACTGCATTAAGTGACCTTTTCTTTTTCCCTTCTGATACTTCCTTCAATACTTTGAATGTTGTGGACTCTTAAAATGGGCTATACCTGAGTAGGCTGTTTGGCAGCTTGTTGCCTGTCCTATGTGGGAGTCAATATTGGACAGCTTGCACTGAGCTTTCAGAAAGTCTTTGAAGCATTTGTATGGTCTACCACAGTTTAATTTACTAGATGTCAACTCACAATAGAGAAGCTGCTTTGGTAAGTGGTCATGTGACATGCTCAACACATGGCCTTTGTAGGTGCACTTTAATCCTGGCATATGTGCCAATCACCTGCGTCCGCTGGAGTATTGCCATGGGTGGGACGTGGTCTTGTTTCACTGCCATAATTTTTGGAGACCTCCTAGACTTTTATACCAATTCAGAAACTTTTCAAACACTGTACAGGAACTTTGTTAACCACCACCTAGCTCAGGCGTGTCAAATTCATCTGGTCAGACCTGCGTCATGGGGGGCTAGATCCAGACCCCCACCTCTGGCAGCAGAGTGAGAGGCAGGACAAGCAGCATCAAGGAGCTGTGGGGGTTAATACAGGGATTTTTCACTCCCCCTGGTGCTGGCATGTGCCCCCACTGGGTCTCTATACCCTAGGTTTTGTGGTGGGTCCTGCCTGTGCACACCCTGCCTCTAAATTCCTGGACCATCTAGGAGCCTTGTAGGTCAAATGACATGATTCTGCAGGCTGGATCTGGCCCATAAGCTGTATGTTTGACACCCATCCCTTAGATCAGTGGCTTTCAACCTTTTTCCTACTGGGACCTGTTTGCAAAGGTTCATGGCCAGTCCGAACACACACACCCCTGGCCCAGCCAGTGCATGCCCCACAGTCCTTGGCCCTCCCTGGGCCATGCTGGTGTCCCTCACTCCTGACTGGAGGGGCCTCCAACTGTCCCCATCCCACTCAGGCTGGAGTGCAGTAGCTGCGGAGGCTCTGGCTCACACAGGTAACAGCAGAGCAAAGAGGTCTGTGGCAGCCCCTGTCCTGGGCTGCGGTGGCCATGCTGCACTAGGCAGCCTGGTCACAGCTGCTTCTGCCCCCCGAGCAGCATCTTCTGGCTACCCTGCTCTCATGAGCACCCAGCCCGGCCTTGCAGCTTTCCCCTGCCCCTTTCCCCTGCTGGAAGGGGCAGGCACTTCCCTGCCACCACTGTGCTCTGCTGCAGTCTTGGTGCTTTCCCGGGATCAGCGTTTCTCAAACCGTGGCTTGTGACCCCCTGAAATCTTCTTGCGGCCCGCTTTTGGGTCATGACCTGCAGGTTGAGAAATGCTTCCGTAGATGATCCTGTGTTTTCATCTGTCCTCCTGTGGATTCCTTTCCGTAGTATCTCACTCCATTGTCAGTGGCCTTTTTGTTTCAGTAACTAAAATGTAATGCAGCATTTCAACTAAAGATGAGCTGCCAGTTTGTAGAATAGCATCAGAACATTTCCCAGGTGGTTCTTTTCCCTTCTTCCCCGAGCCCAACAGTCTATCTACTTGTCAATTCCTTTCCTTTCCTTTGTCTTCATCTTGCTTCTTGTTGCTGCTTGTTTCCATGTTGAGGTTCCAATTCCTTAGGACAGGGCGTATCTGTTGTGTGTTTTAATGGTGACTACCATAAAGGGGTCTCATGGTGCTATTGTGAAACAAATAAGTAGTAAATGAACTGTGATCCATGTGCCAGCTAGATTTCTTTCCAGTGGAAAGAAGCTTACTCCGAAACCATTGTTGTCAGGGGGTGCTTCAAAAGACTATTTCCAATTAACGTTACCTTGCACTCATCCATCATCCTGTTGCTTAAGGTAATGAGGTAGTCTAATAGAAACAGTTTCTCCTGATATATAGGGGAGTTGAGGCAGCTTAAGCAGTCGGGTAGACAGAGTAGAGGTGGCTCTCAATCTAAGCTGAAACCAACTGCCTGCAGCGTGGATCCTACTCAAAGGACTATGGTGCAGCAATGATGGCTGGGGACTGAAGGCTGCTGCTCCCATGGTGGGCCAGAGCTGCTGCTGCTGCTGCAGTGCAGGCTCCTCACAATAGCAACCCCCACAGGGGCTTCCCATGCCTCTAACCTGGTGCCCCGGGTTCATGCCCTGCTTGCCCACCCGTTACACTACTGCCCTACAAGCTGTGTTTCCAGTGCTGACCCCCCATGGCTGCTGCAATTTTATGCTATGACTCCTGTTAAAAGCGACTGGAAGGAAAATCACTTGATGTGCCCTGGGAGCTGACAAGCTGATTGTTGCACACCGAAAGGCTACCCACAGATGCAGCCAGAAACCCCACATTAAAGCACCGAGGGTTGGGCAGCTGAAAAAGAAGGCATCGCTGAGCATGAGGAAGAAAGGAGGAGAGATGTCCTGTGACTGTAACATGGGTCTAGTGTGTTTCTAAGGAGGATAGAAACTTTGTCAATGTAAGTGGGATGATAGCCTTGGAGTGGAAAGTGCTGCATGAAGAAATCAAAAAATTCCTGAGAATTGTAGTCTCAGAGAAACACTTGGTGCGAGTGTCTCAACACTGGAAGACCGAAGAATGCTCTTCAGGAGGCACTTTCATTCCAAACTGAGATATGCAACATAGCCAGGCAGGTGGAGATGGGGAAAAGCGGCTTTCAAAGCCAGTTTCTTTAAAGATCGGGGAAGTTTTATCCTTAAAATGATATTTCCTCAGTTGCTGCCTGAGGGGAGACTTGTTCTAAACTGGAAGCAAGAAACTATCCCAGATCATATCTGACTTATGAGCACATGAGATAAAAATGCAAGAGGGCCACACTTTTTTGTAGTGTGTGCACATTTTAGAACCAAGCAAAACAGAGGAGGCAAACTCACCAAAACCAGCCTAAGTAAGGTACTGTAAGAGTCTGGCTGATGAGAGAGAGAAGCCAGAACTAACCTAAACCTTGGGCATCTGTTTCACAACTCCAATCTTGGCGGTCACATGCCCATTTGGAAAGTCAGAAGACATAAGAGATGCATGATAAGTCTCTCTTCTTTAACAGGAAAATAAAGCTACAAAGATACCATGCTTTGTCATTTACGCACAAGGCCTTTCATTGCCTGTCAAGATGTTTTCCCCGTCTCATTATCATTTGGCATCTCAGAGTTGTTAGCATTTGGTCTGGGCAAACAAAGGCATTTGCAAAGTTCCAGTCCAGATTCGAGTGTCTCTGAGGCTCAGAATAGTCTCGTGATTAAGGCTATAGGTTGGGACGTGGGAAGTTTGAGTTAGCTCCTTACTTTACCATCAAATTCCTGTGCATCACCTAGAGCAAGTGCCTTGAATTTCCTTGTGCCTCAATTCCCATCTATGAGATGAGGATGGGAATCCTGCCTTTGTGCTTCATCTCTTTAGCTTGTGCAGAGGTTGTGCGGGACTGAGGAGAAGAAAGCCTTGATTAGCTCTGAGCCTGAAGGCACTACAGTAATACTAATAAATATCAAGCAAAGGCAGTGGGCTTCGTGGTTCTCTTTGGGTCCATTTCAAACACTCCTAAACTGTCTACTGCCAGCATTTTACGCCATCCTTAATAAACCCAGACAAAAGCATCATTCTGCTTGATGATGTGCACTAGACTGTGGCAAATTGGAATGTGGCAAAGTCTGAGACAGATCAAACAAGTTTCATTAAGTATACCTTTTCATTTGACAGGACACAGAACGCTGCTTTCTTTAGATGAGGAGGAGCCTGTGCTGAAAACTCAGTGAACTGATTAGCTGGGTGACATGTCTGCTACAGATTAGGGAGCAGTGAAAGGTGCTTTCCCTCCTTAAAGAAGCTTAGAGAAGATTGGCAAGAGCAAGTTGCATCTCAGAGCTGCAATCCAGATTGACAGCTTGGTCAGAGATCTGACTGAAGAGGGCAAAATTGGGTCTGACAGGTTCCCTACCTTAGCCAGCCAGAGGGAAACAAACCCTTATGGTAAGGGTTAAAGGATTTCTTTATGGACCTTCTGCCTCTGAGTTCTAC